CAATAGCTACTAAGGTGACCATGTAGAGAATAATAAATCTGCTTCCTTTCATTTTGTGCTAGACATATCTAGCTATGGAGTCTATGATATCCTAGCAGAGGTTTGAAAGAATGTAACATTTGGAAAAATTATGTAACCTCCACGAATTCCTTGTGGTTTTTTTTTTGTTTTTCAAATTGAAAGACCTGCAGATTTTAGAGCAAAGGTTCTGAATGTTCTAACTATATGTAAGTCAGCCTTTAGAAAAATTCCACCGTTACCTTTTCACAATTAGAAAGGTTATAAATAATGTATTTGGCTGAAAAGGAAGCTCAGCCTGTGGCAGATGGTATCATTCTAGAGGACTGGGGTTTCTGTGAAGATGGCATTCTTTCAGATCGGAACTTCAGCAGACTCACAGAAAGAACTGAAGCTCCTCATAGGGAGTAGACATGTGCTTTATGGATCTTAGAAAAGCTTACAACTTGGCTCCTAGGATGAGAATATTGTGTCACACTGAGGTTATGAGACCCACAGCCAATTTCTGCCGACTTCCACCTTGTATTTCCCAACACTGGAAGCTGTGGCCTGTTTATTCATTGGTGTACTGGGTAGCATTTGAACTTGGGATTTCTACTGCCTGAGTTTTGTCAGTTGAATTCTTTTATTCCCAGAACACTGGTGTTTTTATACATACTGGCTACTGAGCAAGAAACTTGCCATACAAGTTGTATCTTTTTCAAAGTGATTTGGAGAGCTCATATAAATAGACACCAAGAGAGAACTGGAATGACATAACCACTGAGCACTGCAACTTCCAAGACATCTGTTTGGATGTATTTTGAAAAACCTGGGAGGGGATCTCTTGCAAATTAGTGAACAAAGGTTTTTGAAACTATGATTCCTTCTGTGACAGCTAAAAGTGATGGATCTTAAAGGTTTATGTAACGATTAACCTGCCATTGTCTTCTACCTTGAAAGAAGGAAAACAAGAGATGTGCTGGTGGCTTGCAGTAATGAGTTATTTCACCGACCCTTTGTCGATCACCTGATGGCACCCAGCCCTGTGATGAGTCCAGGCTGTACCAAGATAAGACCTAAGGCTCAGGTTGTGGTGGGAAATAAACAGTCTGATAAGTGATACGGTGACACTGTGCATAGGCTGTCTGGTAAGTCAGGCAAGCCCCACAAAAGCAGGCACTTGAACTGTATGCTAAAGGATGAACAGCTGGGTGTTCATCCAGCCATTATAGCATCTGTAAAGGATGCTAGCCAGAGATAGCAGAGGGCATATGACTCCACTTCAGGTATAGTGTGTGTTTCCTTGATGTCAGCTACCAGATTCAGGCCAGCTTAAGAAAATATCACCAAATTGGAATGTTGACACAGATGGAAATACTTCCCCTTGTTATCCTTTGACTGGACTCTATACTTAGTAATGTAATTTAGTACATTCACCCTTCCTAAGAAAATTTATTTGACTTAAAATATATCATTTTGAAAATTTTATTTGATAACCCTTCTGTTACTTAAAGTATAGTTGACTGATCTATGTGGTCATATAATAAATGAGAAGGAGTAGGCATAAAGGTTGTGATAGTAATTAACATCCTATAAATTCATGCTTAATAGCTATCTTCTAGGCTCTGTGTGCTAATTGTGTCACTTCTATTATTCTTTTCTGTCTCCTTAAGCTATTATTTTCCTAGTGACTTGACCCATGCTTGGCACATAGTAGGAGTTCAGTAAATACATGTGGAGTGAAGGTGGGGGTGGGTGCCTGAATGAATGAATTTTTAAAACAACCCCTAAGGTGAATGCTACTATTATTCCTATTTAATATGGAAGATTGTGGTAGGATTGTCAGTTAATTGACTCAAGGTCACATTTCTAGTGTTTGACACACCTTGCATTTGAATTTAGGTTTATTTCTCTTCCATTTCATCAGGTGCACATTCAGTGTGTGTTTAATAAATGCCAGGCATGTGGCTGGAAAATAACACGGAGTCTCAGTCCTACATGAGTGTATAATTTGTGCAGTCTTTTAAAACCAGTGCTGCCTTTTGATTGATGTAAGAATTCCAAGTCTTTAAATAAATAAATAAAATAAAAAAGGGATTTAGCTCAGTGGTGCCACTGCCTGCCTCGCAAGCGCAAGGTCCCAAGTTCTATCCCTGGTACCCCCCCCCCCCAAAAAAAGAGAAAAGAATTCCAAGTCTTTGCTTAAGACATGGAATTTGGTCTACTTTGTGTATACTCCTACCACCTAGAAAAATCCCTCCAGTCTTGATTTTCTGTTACTTTTATCATCAGAACAGTAGGTGTTTCTGATTTTTTCAAATTGAAGATTACAGTATTATGATATTTCAAAGGCCATGTGTTCTATGAGATTTTGTAATCTCTCTTCTCCTGCCACTGAAACTCACTAGTCTACTTTATGCAGTACCTAAGTCTGCAATAGGGACTTTACCACAAGAAAAAGAAAGTTTCGTGAAGTGGGTGTATGAACAGTTTAATTATACATATTGCTCCAGTAAAATAAAGGTGGTCCCAAATTATCTAAATTATGGAATTGTTCCCAGTCCTACAACAGTGTAGACTAGCAGAGATTCCAGAAGTTTTCTTTGGTGAGTGTTACATAACCTGAGGATTAATTAGCCTTTTAATTCATGTTTTGCTTGGGCTAATATTTATATTAGGAGTCTCCCAAGCCCATACCACTTGACAGAGTAGAAAGCATCCAGAAAACCCACTTACCAGAAACAGCCTAGGAGTTTAGGGGTAAGCAAGGGCAAGGGGAAGCTTTGACACTGATGCACATATGGTTATTATTTTCCACATATGGATAATAATGAACTACAAAGCATTGTTACATATGGGCTTTAGGATTATAAAAGTATTCCAGAATTTTTTTCACATACACTATAGATTCTTCCTTTTTTCCTCTCATACATCTCCACCGTTGATACGTTGAATCACATCAAGTTGGTCTGTTTCCATTATCTGTCCTCCTAATAAATGGTAAGCTTATGGTAGGCCAAGGCTTTGTCTTACACAACTTTATATCCTAAATATTAGCCATGCACATAATAGGTCTGCATCAAAGAGTAAATTTTATAATATAGAACTTCTGGCAAACTGAAGTAGACTGGATGTTTGTCAAAAACCTCAGCAAAATTAAGACATCCCATACATTTCTAAAAAGTGAGACATAAATGTCTAAAACATGTATGTACTATTACGTTAATATGTAAGAAACTGTCAGGATGTCTAGGTAAAGAGTAATAAGTTTTTAAAAATTGGACCAGAGTGCAAGAACATCACCTGTCACCCATTTTCAGAATCACTGTTATCCATCAGTGATCTCAGTATTTTTATTAGTGTCTGACTTTATTGATCCATCATTACAATAGAGTAAGTGAGATTGAAGCTGACTGATTGCTAACTGGATCAGGTAATCTTCTGGCTCTGGTTTTGGCAACCTTGCTAAGTGTCTTTTTGCACTGTGGACTGTGGGAGGCTCTTAGTGAAATTGCAAATTATTGGATTAATGACAGAGTATCACCAGCACATTAAGGATGTCTTTTTAGAGAAATAAAATGTGAAAATGACTATAAAGTAGAAAGTGTCAAAAAAGAGAAAGATAGCATCACAGTGCCTCTTAGCTGAGATAGCTGTATTTTACATAAATAATGCAACTCTAGCTTATCCATCACTCCAAATTCTTTAGATATCTTCCACATTTACACATTACACAAATGTGTGCATGCTACAAAATTAACACTGATAATGGATGTCAGGAGAGTTAATAATAACCAAAGAGCTTTCCATTAGAAGTGGCTTGACGAAGATAATGATATAAAAATGCCTTTGTCCCCAAACTGGCTTTTCTGGTTGTTCACTGCCTCCTGAACAATGCTGCCTTCTGTAAACTATTTCCCCATAGAACAACTGAAGTCTGAAATGTATCTTCTCATATTTCTCCTCATGAGGGCAAGGGATAGATCGGCGATGCAAAGTCTCATTCCTAAGACTCAATAGGAAATTAATTTAGTTCTTACTAGAGAATATGGGTATTATGGTTTTAAAGAACCAAGAATTAAGTCACTGAAATTACCATAACCAAACTTTTTCTGGGAAGAGAACATTTTTTGTTATTGAAAGTTTTTATTTTTAACTTCCTTTTAGTAATACATTAAGTCATTGTCTTAAATGCTTTACTATTTTCAGGTTTTTATTTAAAGCCAGATAAATTAAAGTGACAAAATAGGTCATTTTCTTTTTTGTGATATCCTTAAGAAATTGAGTAAGTATGAAATGTACATATTAAAACATTTTTTTGTAGTCAGTTGAAAATTCAGAACTCAGACTTCACTGATAGAGGATCTGTGTGAATATTTTGTTTCTTCTCAAATGTGATCAGTTAAACTTTGAATAGTGTTGGTGCTTCGCCAGTTGAAATCCAAATAATAGAAGGAAAGCACAAAAGTACAAGTGATGTTTCTCAAATTTTAATATACATGTGAATCGGATCCCTTGGGATCTTGGTAAAATGAAGGTGCTAATTGTTAGGTCAGGCCCCAAAACCTGCATTTTTAGCAAGCTCCTTGGAGATGTCCATATTGTTGGTCCCCAGACCATATTTAGAGTAGCAAGGATGTACAGCCCAGGCACTAAATCTCTTTACAAATTGTAGTCATAATGCTGTCTTCATGCATTTGGATTTCTTGGGATCTGTGAATGTATGTCAGGCTAGGAATAGTTGACATTGTTGGAGATTGGATAAGTAATGCTAAGGTAAAAGTCTGGGTTTGATAGCTTTATACTGATCTCGGTGGTCTTTTGCTTGCTAAATAAACATTTGGTAGTATATTAATGAATTTTAGGAAGTTGAAATGTTAAGCTAAAGTATAAAACAAAAATGTCATCAGTTGATTAAAAAAGTTTGCATCACTGAAATCATTTCTGTGTTCCATCTTGTAATGCTGTGTGTTTCAAATGTTCTCCCTCTCTTCATGCAGAGTATGATTTCTTCCATTGTGAACAGCACTTACTATGCAAATGTCTCAGCAGCAAAATGTCAAGAATTTGGAAGGTGGTACAAACATTTCAAGAAGACAAAAGATATGATGGGTAAGCAAAAAAATCGTTGCAGTGGTAGCTACATACCATTACTTGTCATTTGGGGGTTTATCAAAGTCACATCTTAAGCCAGGTCTTTTGATTGCCCAATTAGCGATCAATTTAGAATGTTTCTTTGAGGGTGGGGAGTGGGTATGAGTATAATGAGATAATTAAATTCAATAAATGTTTGTGTTTAAATCAACCAAACTGACTTGGTTGTCAGACATGCAGGAAATCGAGGCGCGAGGAGGGGAGCTGTCATTTTTTAACATCTCAGTGAAGACCTAACCAGGCCTTGAATGACTAATATTAGCTGTGATTACTTTCAGAGGTAAATCATGCTGTTAGGGTTTTGCTTTTTATTTGAAAAAAACAGGATCTGTTTTTATACCTGATTTTTAAGGAAACTAAACTATTGACCTTATTAAACTATATTTATAGTTTCCACAATCACGATCCTGTGGTCCCAGCCCGCACACTCTCATAGGTAGACACTTTGATGAGCATACTGGTTTACCATTGCATAATTTCTAAACTTTTCAACATCACATCATATCTTAACATGCAACGTTAAGTCAGTATTTGTTGTGCAAGAAATACGGGAAAATTATCTGCAGTGTAAAATAACAGATAAAGGTTGAGTGCTGTATCTAAGCATTTAGATCATGGCATTTTCTCCATACTGAATTTGTAAGTGATTTTTGAATTTTGTGATTTTATAATCACAAAAGCAAACGCTGTGATTAAGGTTAATGTGCTAATTTCTATTAATGATTTCTTTCACATAGTTGTACTGAGTGTATATTTTAAAATAATATAGGAGTGGGATGTTTAATATGTGTAACATTATGCTTTGTTTTAAATCTGTTTTTTATTTCTATTACATTCATTTAATAGTAACAACTATAACTTTTCCTAAAGATTTTGAGAGACAAGGGAACTCGCATTTTGAGCATGTTTTAGCTTTTAATATTTGAAGAAAAGCCATCCATCTACAAAAACAGATTCTTTGCCTTTTATAGCTTAGAGCTGTAATGAAGACAATGCATCATTTTTGGAATAATTGCTTGAATTACTATTCTCTGTGAATGGCCCACTTGGGCTGATATCACTGGTAGAAATTAAAGGTTTCTCCCCCAATTCTTAGTTATATTTTGCATATGTCAGTGACTATAGCAATATGGTAAGTTCCTCTAAATATAAAACCTGCATATTTAATGACAAGAGGAATGATAATTAAAGTCAAAATAGAGTTTAATATGTGGGACGTATGGTATAAATTTGGAAAGATTTACCTATTCACAGAGCTCTATACTCAGCCTTTTTAGTCAAGAACATCAAACCAGTCTCCTTCTGTGTAATGGCAAGTATTTGACACACTTAGACCTGACTGGTAGCCAGTCCATATGAGGGATCTAGCCAAGGAAGAAGCATTCATCCCAGGTTTTTGGAAATACATTGCAGAATAGTAACAGTATCACTGTTATACCAAAATTACTCCCTGCCCTTTCCTTGCAAGATTGTGTTTAATTGTCTGAATTCACTATGTAGCCCTGGCTGGCCTGGAGCTCATAGTGATCCTCCTGCCTCAGCCTCCCAAGTCCTTGGATTGTAAGTGTGCACCACCATGCCCAGTAAGAAGCAATAGCTTCTTGAAAAAATACAACCAGGTCTTAACAACACAGGGTGTACTGCCTTATTATACAGTAAATCACTTGCTTCTTCCAAGAAGTATTTGCAGATATACCCATTGTCCATTATGGTTAAATTTAAATTAAGCCATGTAAGATATTCAGCTTGATGTTCAATTACAACACTCAGTTTTTAATGCCCATTTTTACTATATCTTCATTATACAAACTATGTCTTTGTATTTACTGCTATATAAAATTGAATATAGTTATATTTTATGTCATCTTTTTTCTTTCATTCTTTTTTCTTAAAGCTAATGTATCACGATAAAATGTTTGTACATTTCTTTTCCTTAGTTGCTTGTTATCATGTACTTCTTAGTTCATGATAAGCCTTTAAGCAAGAGATATTTTTCTACAAGCCATTTCAAAGTAAATTTCTACTTATATAAACCTACTTGAGGCAATAAGTGAAAATGAGTAACAGTTTGATGCTATAGCTAGTCACACAAAGAATTTGGATATAGTAAATTTTATCCCTTAAATCTAAGCCACATTTTAAAAAATGAGATCAGGAGTGTGGCCCTACTTTGAAAGATTGTGGAGTTCTTCAGAAGAGGAAAACAAAACTGCAGTCTGGTTAGTTCCATCTTGAAATTTTCTTGATTTCTTTGGGTCTTCAGCATGCCCTGTGCCTACTGTCTTTTATTATTTATGAAGTGGTCCAAAATCCCTGTCAGTGCCCACTGCCATTGACTGAACATGATTTCCCTTTCTGTCCCCTTAGTTGAAATGGATAGTCTCTCTGAACTATCCCAGCAAGGTGCCAACCATGTCAACTTTGGCCAGCAGCCAGTCCCCGGGAACACAGCCGAGCAGCCTCCCTCCCCTGCGCAGCTCTCCCACGGCAGCCAGCCCTCTGTCCGGACCCCTCTTCCGAACCTGCATCCTGGGCTTGTATCCACGCCTATCAGTCCTCAGTTGGTCAACCAGCAGCTAGTGATGGCTCAGCTGCTGAACCAGCAGTATGCAGTGAACAGACTCTTAGCCCAGCAGTCCTTAAACCAACAATACTTGAACCATCCTCCCCCCGTCAGTAGATCTATGAATAAGCCTTTGGAGCAGCAGGTTTCAACCAACACAGAGGTGTCTTCCGAGATCTACCAGTGGGTACGCGATGAGCTAAAACGAGCAGGAATCTCCCAGGCAGTATTTGCACGCGTGGCTTTTAACAGAACTCAGGTCAGTTTTGATCTGTTTGTGCACATTTTTGCTCTCTCTTCCTTTCCCCTCTTGTTCTTCAGCCCCGTGTTTGCTAATGTTTATTCTTTGACTTGGTACTAACATTTCACCTTTCTCTTCACATGATCATAATGCTTGTTCTGGTGGGAACTAAGATTTTTAACTCCTCTCCCTGCAATATAGCTCCTCTCTCAAGGGACAGCTATGTACAGATTGATCCCAAGTCGGAGGCCTTGCAAGAATAAGTTAAATATAAAAACATTTCACGCTGACATTGCCCATGTTCTTTATGACAGAATCATAAACTGTTAGTAATAGAAGGTTAAGAAAAGTATCATGAGTTGGTCAAGGCCTTGGGTAGGATTCTAGGCTTCATGTTTAGCGTATTTTCCACGTTTCCACAGATATCAGACTTAAGTATGTAAATGTGCTTTTTTGAAGTTTTTTCTATAAATATTTTTGGCACTTGAGAACGCAATAGCAATTACTGATATTTAATTGTAAGCAGCCATTTAAAAACTTTAATAGGGCTTATTAACATAAAATGTTGCTTAGCTTTATCTTTTCTGTCATAGCATTATTAATGTTCTTCCAAAATCATTCTTTAGGCCAGAGATCAGCACAGTTTTTTCTGTAAGCGGATAGATAGTAAATATTTTAGGCTTTGAGGGCCATAAAAGCTCTATTGCATTATAGTGATGAGCAGCCATAAGCAATAAACAAATGGGCAGTCTGTCTACAAAAAGGCCATGAGGTAGGTTTGGTCTGCAAGCCTTAGTTTGCACATCCATTTTTAGACTTCTCATTGAGATCTGGGTGAGTCCCTAATGTTTATACCTTTGTCCTCCTAGGCATATTCCAATGAAGATACTATGTGTCACCATGAGTGGTAGAGGGACATAGAGGAAGGATGATATATGATCTGACAAATCGTAAGATAAAAGATTTTTGTTTTGTTTTATTTTGTTTTTTGAGACGGGGTCTCGCTGTGTTGTTCAGGCTGGCCTTGAACACACTATGTAGCCTAGGCCTCAAAATCGCAGCGATCCTTCTGCTCTAGCCTCTCCAGTGCTGGGATTACAGGCATGCGCCACCATGCCCGGCTTAAGGTAAAAGAGTTTTGAGAGGCCCTGAACAAATTGATTCTATTAAACTGTGAATGAAAAGATTTTTTTTCTTTGTTTAGAAACTATTATGATACATATGTTTATTTTCGGCCAAGGCACACTGAAAAATGAGAAGAGCATGTAACTTTGATGAGATTGAAGATACGTCTTTTCACCTTTCTTGTTTTACCACTGTTCCTTCTTTCGTCAAATTATTTTTGTTTTTTGGCCTGACTTTTTCTTGCATATTTAAGTTATTACATGATTATAAGAATAAAATTCTGATACAAAAACAAGCTAGTATTAATTCCTTATTGGTAGAGTTTCCATACTTAGAACCCCAGCCATGAATTATTTTTGGTTGTCTTAGCTAGATTGAGAGTTAAGAGACCAGAAAAAAGTGTTTGTTTTTAGTCTTTTCATATATGTGTGTGTCTGCATGTATGTATATGTGTATACATATGTATATATACGTATGTATATTTGTGTCTCAAGCCAATGTGGTAGAGCTTTTATGGCCCTGAGTTTTTACTTAGTTCCTTATTTTTACAGCTTAAAAACTCTGTTTATTATCAGCTAGTAATTTTAATATGACATTTAATTTTAGTTGTGGGTAATCGTTAAAAAATAAACAAATCCAAAATCAGCCCTCTAGATATTCCTGTTTCTGGTAGCATTCTATATTTTTGTAAACACAGTACTAGTAATTCTCAGTACTGGGCAAAACAGGACTCTACCTAAAAGTATAATAATGCTTGTTGAATTCAATTAGAAGCCCACAGACTAAGACAACATTGCCATAGATATAAATTATAGACATAGATTTATTGATAAGTGGTTTTTTTTTGTTTGTTTTTTTTTTTGGTACCAGGGATCAAACTCAGGACCTTGTGCTTGCAAGGCAGGCACCAGAACCACTGAGCTAAATCCCCAGCCCTGATAAGTGTTTTTAAAATGAGCAGTTAATCTTAAAGCACTGTGGAAACTGCATTTTATGTTGTGATGAGTGTCTCAAGAGCTGAGCTGAAGGCGAGGAAGGCGAATCACCACCTATCCTTGGAGTTTTCCCGGGTTCTGATGCCACAGCTCTTACTAGCGACCGTTATTTCTACTTTTGGTTTTTACACTGAAAAATGCTACAGATATCTATAGGATTTATTCTGGAAGAAAGGTAGAATTTTCTCTTTTTATTCCAAGTTGATCTCCTTCAAAAGATAGGTATCTTTGTAGTTGACATTAAAAATAACTATTTTCTTGAGGATGACATGCAAACCTGGTATAGCTTCTTCCTTCATACAGGTACCTCTTTTTTAATAGCCAAATTTAGGAAAATATTATTACTAAAAACTTACTTGGGGGCCTACGCAATAAAGCCATTTGATTGTAAATCTTTATATTGATATTTGGCGTTTCTCAGTAGAAGATGATGCTGGGGTATATTTGAAGCTGTTTGGTTTAAATAGGAGTGATTTTATATGTATATTTAAATGTTCATTGGTTGACGACTAGCTTTTGCACACGCAAGCATGTATGTATTTTCAGCGGTCATACTTAAAAATCATGCACACACAGCTGCACTTAATGATTATACATTCATATGAATGCATGTAGTGTGTTTATTTCAAAGTGTGCATTTCAATAAAAGCAGGTGCAGAGTGAAAGCATGGTGTGAGTGTGGAGTACGAAAATACACATGCTAATGCATTGTATAGACAAGCTCTGCAGAGTTAAATTGCACATCACACGTTTGTGTGCACTTCTTACAATGTGCAATTCCAACTCCAAGTTTTAAAAACATTAACGTAAAGTATGTACACAACACAAAGTTAATGATTCAGTTGGATAAAGACGTTATACCCTATGAATAGTGTGCTAACATTAATATAATAGTGTAGTTTTGAACTAAGAATTGTTTTAGTCATTGACAGCTTGGAATAACTTTAAAATTCTGAATTTCATGTTTCAACTCTTGAGAATTTTCTCATCTTAATAGGGCTTCCTAAATTAAAGCATAATCCTCTTAGATTTTCACGTATGACTATTATTTTAAGTCTACCTTTTCTGAAAATTTATGATGAAATTTATATAATTACTTGTTTTAAGGAATTTTCCCCTTTCTGAATTGATGGGCATATGTTCTTTAATAGCTATTGAAGATTCCAGCTTTTAGCATATGTCATTCATTCAGTTATGCCTACTTGATGTCTTTTTAATGGAAACCTATGGCTAAAAGTAATTGCCAGAGCTAGATTTATGCTTTCCGATTCACCTCTCTGTAATATTGCTATTTAAAGTTTGTGATACAGGAAAGTATATTCTTTAATGCCCCCTCCCCGCAAATAAAACACAAGTGTTTTAACTCTGATACCACTCTATGCCTTTTTTCTCTTTCTCCCTCCTCCTCTTGTCCTTGGCACACTTTATTTTCCAGTAAAATAAAAAATGAAGATGGATTATTCAAAACTGATAACAGTAATGGACCATCATGTAATGTTTTATTGAATTAGAGTTCTGTAAATTATGTGGTGGAGAGAAATTTGCCTGCTTAAGTATAACAGAAATTGCTACTGTGTTCTTATAATTCTTCACAGTGTAATTTAAGAAAAGTCCACTATCCATATCACTATTGAATAACAGGTAAAAAGGTGCTATTACCCCAACATGACAGCTCTCTATTAACCTACCAAAGGACAGAGATAAATGCATCTACTTATAACTTACTTGGCATGAGTCCAAGGAGTAGGTAATTTGAAAATAGTCCTTTACCTGGACATGTGATTAAAAATTCACTAAACAACAGAGGCAGGTAGCCTTGAAGAATATTCTATGAATTTTCTTTTTATGAGGGAGGTTTCTTCGAATCATATTTTCTTTCTGAGGGCTTTGAAGTTCCATGAAGCTGATAAAATCTGTTTGAATGAGTGATTATGTTTACAGGGGAGACAAACGGGAGGCCAGATAGGCTTTTTTTTCAAATTGGCAGTTTCTTTCACTTAACTGCCATTTTGAAGAATTCATGATTAGCTTTTGGAAGTACTGATAATATTTATTGAAGGATTTTTTTCTTTATGAATTTTACTTGTGATAACTTATAAACTCTTGTTGGAATGTAAGAAAAGGAGTAATTTATCAGTAAATTTATTCTTTAATTGAAAAGAATTGCTGTCTTAACTACTATGTAACAACAATGCAGAATAATTTTATCTTTTCATAAATGCAACACACATCTAGTTATTTTTAAGATGTGATATCCCAATGAACGAGAGCTACTCATTTCCAATAAAATTAATTGCTGGTAACTTCCTATATGATGTGCAAGTTTTCAGGTTCTTTTTAAAAATCAAAAATGATGAATGATTTTGTTTAATTTAGCTCAACAAATTTAGCACCTATGGTGCATGATACTGATGTTTTAATCCTAGTATCACAGCATATTCTGTGATATAACAAATGAGGACTATGAGGGCCTTGTTATACTTCTCTTTTAGTATGAACAAGGATTTCTGGTAAGAGAGCTCTTTATCAGTCAACCATGGGCAGTTATCACATAGGACCTTGACCTAACCAGGCAAGTCTGTACCGCATTTGAAACTATGGAAAATGGGGGATGAGGGTCACAAACTACTTGAGTCCACAGAGCCAGCTGTTTAAACAACAAAGATCTGAATGGGAACAAAACATGCATTCCTGTATCTTGATTCTGATGATCATTTTGCATCCACGATTATTCTAAAGTGACATGACTTTTTTTTTTTTTGTAATTAACACTAATCAAACGTTTTCTAACAATATTTTCAGGCATTTCCACCAGGGGGCACTCCCCTCATTGAAAGCTCTGGGCCAAAAAAGAAAAAGGTTTCTAAACACAGGAGATTGTCTACACTGGCTGCTTTAGAGCTTGTTGAGTGTTCATAGGTTTGAAACATTGCATCAGACTATCAGCATATTCCAGGCAGAAAAACTGCTTTTGTTCCAGGAGGATAATTAATTTAAGTGGGAATAAAATGCTTTGCCCCTGTAACAGTTGTGTGCTTAACTGGGAAGGCATACCAACTTCAAAAATACAGGCAGAGGACATGTTATCTTTTACCCTAAGCCATAACGAGATGTCTTAGGCTCACATTAGCAAGACTCGAGAGATGATTATTATGTATTTTTTCATGCGTTTCATTTTTCTCTGTAGTTCTCTGCTGCTTCAGGAAACATTTTTGGTAGAAATATGTGATATATTACTTTGTTATTTAAGATTTTTAAATGTCTAACTTCAGCTATTTCTTCTAAATATCTATAGGCTATCTTTTGCCCTAACCTATTTTTTTTTTTTAAATTACCAAACAATTGTGTAAATAACATCTCAGAGTGCTGCATGACTTTTCAGTACAGGTCCACCCTTAGTAAGAGTAATTACCATTAGAATTTACCCATGGGTTTTTGTTCATGTTTTTATCACCTATTTGCAATTTATTTCTTTTTGTGATCTGTATAAACATAATTAATCAGTTGAGTAAATATTTATCAGACACTTATATGGTAGGCATTGTGCTGGGATGACAAAACTAAATATTATATTCAAGGAATCTATAACATTGTATTTATGGATACCGAATGTTTGCATCTCTGTTTTTGTGTAGTTGAGATATATTGCTTTATCAAGGATGTTTAAAAATACATAATATTTGGGGGGGGGCTGGGGAGGAAGGGCTATTTTATTATACCTATTTTCAGAATTTTCCTGTGTATGTGTGTGTGTGTGTGTGTGTGTGTAGCTTGTGTTTTGGTTTCAGTATGACACATCAGAAATACTTCAATCTAATTAGTTGGCATTGTGCAAATTAAATAGCTGGATGATTGACTGCCTGTTTGAGTGAATTTTAGTTAAATTGACTAGAGTCGTTTTGTTCCTGTGTAGACACAATTACAGCATTACTCACTGGTAGCGTGAATAAAAGAACATGTGCCCCTCATTTTTCTGTCACATCTCTTAGGGTGAAACTGAAAGTTCAGGTCCAGTTTCCAGGCGGTGATTACTGTATATCAACTGAGAGCTTTCTTTAAAATTGATCCTTTAAAGCCCCCAGAGACTGTCTGAAGTTCTTTCATACCAGTTTATAAATCATTTAAAAAGTGGACAGTGCTTTTACACTATCTGTACCCATTATATTTAAGCAGTGTGGTACATTATCTTGAGGAATTGGACACAAACCCAGGTTTGTATTTCTCCATTGTTTTGACATCTTACCATCCCTCATTCAGGAGGGTTATTGGAAAGTGGATTTGCAAATTATACATAAATTTTGATGAGGTTTTATTCTGAGCTATATTGCGATACTCTGGGCAAGTAAAGAGTATGCTTCAAGCACTGTTCCATGTATAAGATCAAAGAGACACACAGGCTGCTCAGTCCTTATAAAAGTTATTAGAAAAGGTTTTGAGTATTTTTGTTTCATGTTATCCCTTATACACATTGGGAATAAAGCTTATCTTTAAGAGTTCTTCCAAAAGTTAAAAAGTTAGTTAAACAGTACTATCCTGTAATTCGGGGAAAGAAAGACCCCTTAAAGGAATTTCCAGTGATATAAATTTCTTCTATTACTAATAATGCTTTTTATTTCTTAAGAAATTTGATAATTACTGAATTTGATGATATTTTTTTCCAGGGAATACTGTGATATGTTTTTGCAATATGAAAAAGTGATTATGTGTTTCAGATTTGATCAGAGTTCACAATTTTAACTTGTTACCAAGTGGTATAGTATAGCAAGGTTGTACAGTATTTAAAATAGTTTGGGATGGTCAGTGGTTCCTTTAAATGACAAATTGAAAGGACCACCTGGTGTCATTTGCTTTGATAGCTGGAAGATTAAGGAGCAACTTAAAATATTGCCTGTGAAAATACAGCATGATTCTTAGTTGATGAAACAGTAATACTCATTTTTTTTTCCTGACATGTTGCAGTTCATTTTCTGGTATTTTCATGAAAAGTTCTACTTACTGCTTTAGAAATGGCTTTATATCTTTACATACTAAGCTACTGTCATTCCACTGCCTTTGTCTAGGCAGGATGAGAACCATACAGTCCGATGCTGTTGTATTATGAGGATTTCATTTATTCTTCCCTCCATCGTCTCTCTGTAAAAGATTTTATGGCAAGTTAAGCTACTGAAAGGCAGGAGACTCTTTAGGCAGTTTCAGTTTGTTGTGTGTAAAGCAGATGCTTAATAAAATTAATACAGTTGAGGCTCTCTTCTTCAACACTCCAATTGTCACTAATATACTATTCCTATACAGAATTAATGTCTCTGACTTCACTTTCTAAACAGAGTAGAAGAAAGGGGGAAGGATCACCTCTCCCTGGCCAGAGCCTGGGAGCAACCTCACCCTGTGACTTTCATTCCCTACAGGGCTTGCTTTCCGAAATCCTCCGGAAGGAAGAGGATCCCAAGACTGCATCCCAGTCTTTGCTGGTAAACCTTCGGGCTATGCAGAATTTCTTGCAATTACCAGAAGCCGAAAGAGACCGAATATACCAGGATGAAAGGGAAAGGAGCTTGAACGCAGCCTCGGCTATGGGTCCTGCCCCCCTGATAAGCACACCGCCCAGCCGTCCTCCCCAGGTGCGGTCTCCTTTTCCATGACCACCTTTTATCTTTCTTTCTCTTAAAAATTTTTAAAAAGAATTTCAGCAAGAAGCTAGATAGATATAGTTTTTTAAAAATTCATACAGTTGTTTTAGGAAAATTTCATCCCAAATTACCAATTCTGATATGAAAGCAATAAGCTAAGCTACTAATTAGAAAGCAGAAAAAAATTGTTTTGTGTTGCTCCATTCGAGTTTTTTAGGGGTGAAAGGAGTCTTTAAGTGGGATATTTACCTCTACTACTAATATTAAATTAAAAAGAATTTTAAACTCAGTAAGAAAAAGAAGAATAAGGTCAGTTTTATCCCTACCAGTTTTAGAAGTGCCATTTGAATATTAAATAAATAAAAATAAGTAATTCCATTTGTAGTTATGCTTTCCAATATGAACTGCAGCTGGTACCAATTACACATCATCTCGTTTGTAATCTTTCATAATTAAGTTTGATACAGTCCTTGAAGGCAGCTTTAAAAATGGGGCTGATAATTCCCAGAAATGGGCACATTTTCTGTTTCTCCAAGTTTTTGGTCACTTTTTTAGGAGGGCAAAACATTTCCCTCCAGGTAACTTTGTGGTGGTCCATCTGTATTGTTACTTTTTAATTTTAATTTTTATTAATGCATGTTTACATAATGATTACTTACATTCTGGGGAGTTGGGGTGTGTATATAACACATCTGAATTCTTTTTATGTCCCCGTCTCTTCTCTCTCTATTTTCCTTCCATCTCTACCCCTTACTTGCAAAAGATTTATCTCCTTGCTTCCTATTGTATTATTTTTTAAATCAAATTTTATAGTAGCCTTATAATCATTATAAGAATTCAAGAAATTTTTAGTACAAACTATTAGATAAAAAAATTGGACAAAATCCACATACAGGTGTATTTTTTACATGTGTAATCTGTGGCTTGCACATCTCTTAAAAATAAGATAGACTAAAATGAATAAAAGTTGAATATGGAACACAAAATTCATATAATATATAATGTCAAAATGAAATTGTGTTGAAGTTTATTTTTTCCATCAATAGTAAAAAAGCAAAAAGCGTGCACTGCTGTGTATAGAAATCTAGAAAAAGCCTATTGAACAGTACAGATGAAACTGCCACAGACACTCCATAAATGAGAAATAGGCATAATATGCAGGCCCTTGTTGAGGGTCATGAACTGTTTTATCTGGTCTTAGTGCCTGTAGGGGCAGACTATAGGAAGTCATTGCGAAATTGTGAATAAGAAGTCCTGAATCTATTGGAAAGAAGAAGAATGGCCACTATTATATATCCACCTGCCTATATGTACACAATTATTGAGTTTGATCTGTAGTAAACCCTTATGTAAAATATTTTCTAAGATAAGAACTTTCTATAGGTAAACATACACAGATATATATGACTTTTGTCAGAATGATTAAATAAAAATACTTTTGGCCTTGGTTTAACAATTGTTTTGCATGTTTAGAGTTAATGCTCACCATAATTAGTTCACATTGCTCCTATAGTCATCACTTACTGGTCTGGCAGAGGTATTTTGCTTATCGCTTGATCTGCAATGCTAATGAAAGAAATGGCTTACTTAAAACCAATATGAATTTCCACACTGAGCATCCCCTTTCTTAAAAAATTTGTCCAGGGGCCGGGGATTAAGCTCAGTGGTTCCACCGCCTGCCTCGCAAGCGGAAGGACCCGAGTTCAATCCCCGGTACCAAAAAAAAAAAAAAAATGTGTCCAAATATCTGACCTGGTGATTTCTTAATATAGCTTCTTTTTTCTTCATGGATTTTGAGAGTTTTTTTTCCCCAAGTGTGATTATGCTACCCTTATTCATTTTCTTTAGTGAAAATTACTCTTTTAATTCTTAGTGATGTTTGTTTTCATGTACTCTTAAAATACAGTTGGGTAGCTTTCTTGTGTATATGTATGAAGGCACTATCTGCTGTGGTAAGTGGGGGTAGAAAACATGTATTTGGGCCTAAGTTATTGATTACGTGGTTAAGCCACTGTTAGTCGCACAATGTATTTGTTTGCTCTAAAGAAAGTTTGAAGGCTGAGGATGTTGCCCGGTGGGAGAGCAATTGTTTAGCATGCAGAAGCTTCTGGGTTCAGTCCCTAGTACTGCTAAAGTAATAAAAAGACTCGAGACTAAGCCCTTAGCTATGGTATTGTGCCAGTGATGAGTGTATTATAGAAATACTGCAGATTTTTAGTGAACTTCTTTCAAAGGAAATACTTCTATTAATGCACTATTACTGGCCATTTAACCGAATTCTGAAATGATCATCTGATACATGTATGTGTAATTTTATTTTATAGCTATAATACACATCTTTAAGTTACCTTACTTGCCTCCCAAAGAATCACTACATTACTTTAATATTAAAGTTCACTACCAAACTGTTCGCACTTTATTCATTATTAGTGATTCAGTTAAATTTTAAGAAATTCTTGATATATTAAAGTAATTATTACAAAATGAGTACTTTAGATTTGGAACAAACATGCTATAGGGCAGTTGACTTTCTAGTGTTTTGCAGCAGCTGAAATTGAACTCTATACATAACAAGGTTTTAATAGGCTTATTATAAATGGCTAAAATGGAGAAAATCACAGATATAAAAAAATACTGCAAATTTTGGTCTTTTTTAATTTTATGTTTTTCCAGAGAAGAGTCTGTGTGAAGTCACTGAATTTCATTTCCCCAAAAATGAAGAGATTTTAAACTTATTTTGACTCAAATTTTGGGCTCCATTTGGACCTAAACCCTCATTTCTTTCTAAAGAACTTCAGGTTAAAGAACTACAAGTAATTCTAAAGAAGTACAGGTTAGTGGCTTACAGAAGACCTAGGCCACCTTTACTCCTGAGACTGGATTCTCTTCCAGCTCCTTATAGGGTGTAGGTCATACATAGGATGAATTTAGAATGTGCCTGGGGCCTAAGCCCTGAACTAGCAAGCAACTATCACTGAACTAGTTGAGTTCAAGCAACTGAACTGTTGAGCCATTTGAATTCCAGAAGTACTTTAACTCCAAGAACTTCCCTAGCTAGGGGAGCTTCAGGTAGAATTCTTAAAGATACCTCACTTGGGAGACTTAGACCAGCCTCAGGAAATAGCAGAAATCTTGGTTGGCCCAGCAAAGCTTGGGGCCTCCTGCGCATACCTGCCCCTTAGCCTCCATTTGGGGCCGTCCATTTCTTAGGCTGGGCTTTGTGCTCCGCCTGGGGCCAGACCTGTTTTCACAACCTAAGTGCTCTAATTCAAGAAATAGGAATGCCCTCACTTGACAGTGATTCACAGTTTTCTAAGCACCTTAACCTACATTAATTCATTGAATTCTCATACCAACCTTTTGGTAAGAGAAAAATGAGAAACCCAAGTGTGACGTTGAATTCAAGTTGTCAAATCCCTAGTAAGTCTGTCAGTCTTTCCTTTACCTCAGACCACCTCAGCAAAAATACAAACAACTTCATTTTGCAAGGGAACAAAGGAAGCCTGAGGACTTTTTCTGTTTGTCATACAAGATAGGAAGTTGTATTGTTGGATAAGAAAAAGGAACATAGGGGAAAACATTGACCTGGTGGAATAAATGAAATGCTTGACACGTGGTCCACGTGGAACGCATTTGAATAGTGGCCTTTCTGATGTTGTGGAGAAAATCTCCCTTCCATACTGTGATAATATGGAGATATCTAAGAGAATCTAGTCCCCTCAAATTTGCCTGCCTTAAAGGTTTCTTTTCTCTCCATGCTTTGCAAATTTGCCTCATGAGTTTACTACAAGAATTTTATTAATAATTGTGATTTTTTTCTTCTAATAATTTGTTCCACAGAACAGATCAGTTTTAAGGATTTCTACCTTAAGTCTATGCTTATTCTGGTTTTTATTTGTGTATTTTTATACATGTGACTTTGGAGTTAAATTAATTTTATAATTTCAGTTTTCATAAAGACTGTTTGAAAGCATATAATTATCAAGTTGTAACTTTTACATGAATTATATAATTCATTTTTTACATCTCTATATATGATTCTTTAATTGCTTCTAAAGTAAGGTTTGATATTTTATAACAATGCTTAGAAAACGTTCAAAGTTCATATAAAAATATACAATTAATCTGGTAACTGCACTATCATATCTCTTTGCAGCAAATCCCTCTACAATATACTGCAGACTCATTTGATTTCAGCTTCAGTTACAAGCATGAACTTAACCCCGATGAAATGTTTGTCATGAAAAACATTAAGATCGTGTTTATAAAATGCTTCTCATTAATAGTCATCTCTTAAAAGTTAAAAGACCTTTAAAGTCTAGATTTGGAAGATGTTCCTATAGAATAAAGAAATGTCTGAAAAGATCAAACCATGGTACCAAAGACAAATATATAAATATTGCAGAGCAGGGACTATTTTTATCAGCAGTAAACATTCTATAGGATAGCATATTTCTTAAACAACGGGAGTAAGAAAACATTTGTAGCCATGGGTGGTGCACACACCTGTAATACCAGCACTTGGGAGGCTGAGGCCACAGGGTCACTGCAAGTTAGGTTGGGCTATCTAATGAGTCCAAGACTACTCCAAATGACATAAATCCTGTCTCACAAAGCAAAACGAAACAAGTTTATGGGTTCTATACATTGGAAAATAAATTCAAGTGAGATTTGTAGTATCAATTATAAAATTGCTAACTACATTTAGCAAAGAGCCACCAAAAAGGTCAATATTTCTTCATAAAAATGTTTCTAAAAAGGCTCTTATAACGACATGAACTCCATATAACTGTGATCTCTAAGAACTAGCATCAGACAAACTTAACAATTTCAACCTTGAGCCATGAACAAATTACTTAACCTCTTTGTTGTAACAATTTTTGTTTTCAATTTTAAAATAATACCTACTCTGGGCTATTATGTAGGTGAAGAAGTTAATATACATTTACAGAATGCCCAACACATAATAACCAACTAATAAGTTTGTTATCATAATTATTAAAAGTACATAACAATTTAATTTTGTGTACATGAGAGCTGTGTTCTTGCAGGCAGTTCTTCCTGCATCAAAGAGTAGCACATTCACCAATCAAGACCAAAGGAGAGTTTGTTTTGTACAACCTGAAAATTTGATTTGATGAATTTAGCAGTCCATGAAGAAGCAAAATATAATTTTTATGAGGAATTTGCGTTCTACTGCACAATTTTAGTGAAATAAAAAGCAGACCCTGATGCTGCACCCTATCCCCATATGACAGGGTAAATCACAGAAGCTCCCAATCTTAACTACTTCCCTGGCGCCTAGGTAATAACGGAGTAGTTCACCTTACCTTGATAAAAGCTATTCAGAAAGCAACTGCATTTATTTTACCTCCTGTGCTATTTGCGGAGAAGAGCTGAAGAGTAGTTTGTTTTGCCTGGAATGAACTACTTTGTGAATTTTAATGTGTGATATAATATTAAAAGCTAAACCAGGATTAAAGATTTTTTTATACTAAGCTAAAATAGTACTTAGTAGAGTGAGGTATAAAAGATTTTTGTTTCCATTTTTACCTAGGGAAAAATTGAGCTTTCATATTTTGAAAAGCTGTCCAAGTCAGTTACCCTTAGGCAATAGCTTGTGTTTGGGGGGCGGGGGGAATGATTCCAGAATCCTAATAGCTTATCTATGATAAGATGCATATCTGGTCCAACAAGATGATAAAGAAGCTTCTCTAAATATTTTTTAAAATGAGTAATCCAGACAGATACTTTCTGACTTTTCATTTTTAAAGTTTTTCCCTCACTTCCTTTTTTTCTTTTTTCTAACATTTCATATGTGTATTTTCCATTTTGGCTTCTATTGGCCACTAGGAAATGCATATTTGATTTTTTTTTTTTTTATGATCTAAAGTTCTTGCTCGTTGGTTCAAGTTTATTAAAAAAATTAACCAAAGAAATTTTTAGAAACAGAATCACAGGGTTGAAACAGATGATTGTAGCCCACCTCAATGATACATTTTCCAATGTAATTTTTACAGAAGAATGAAAATTGTTTTAAAAACAGACCAAAACACTGAGTTTCCAAATCTGTTCTTACTATGTAGATTGCTACTAAGGAACTGTTTCTTCCAAGGCTGTGGACCTTGTTCCTCAATTAACATAACATTCAATTTTCAAAGCAATTGAAATGGCTTTTCTTTTTTCTTTCATTTCAGCAGTGAGAAAAATAGGTATTGAAAGAGACCCCATGAGGTGATCAAATCTATCCCTCTGCCTCAAAGCAAGACCACCCCAGAGCAAGATTTCAAATCTCACCAAAGCAGTTGTAGGCAATTTATGGTAATGCCTTAACTCTTCTGGCTCCTAAAGTGGTATTTAGCAGATTATTGCTTCAAAACCCACTTCTTAGTGGCCTCCAGTCATTAATAGTGAGTGCCCTGAAGTATTAGACTCCAGAGCTGAAAAGAGGACTCTAGAAAGGAAACCTATAGACTCTTGCCAACCTCTCCAGGTGATAGTTTAAGGAGGCAGTGAGACCTTCATTACCTGCTGTGTAGTCTTCAGGCCTGTGGTCCAACCACCAACCTCATTGCCTCACCTTTCCCTGCCTAGAGGGATGATGTCATGTTAGAAGACGCTTCAAGATGAACAGGAGGTGAATTATTTTTCTAATTAGACATTAGAGAAATTCAGAAGGTACATTACAAAGGGACTCCCATTTACTCCCTAGAATTGAATTTTCTGAGATAACCTCTGTACTGTTGCCCAATATTTTGAGGACAGAGTGAAATAAAACCATGGAAGATTTGTAGTTTGACTAGAGAGGTGTCATTTAATGCCCAAAAAATCATTCTTGTGTCCTAAAGTGCACTTCATTTTCTTTTGTTCATAGTTTATGTTAGAATTCATGCAGGATGGTAAGATTCTAAAATACAGAAACCTGTAAATGACACTAAGAAGTGAAGTCCTTAGTCATTTTGCTGGGAGAAGCATGGCTCTGCATCTGTAGCAATTTTTCACTTGCATTTTCATGAATTTCTCAGTTAAAAATAATGATCTACATAGATCATATGTAAATGTTCAAGGCTGGTTCATATAACTGCATAATAAAAATTAAAGTTGGAGTTAAAAAACACTAGTAGTATCAATAAATTTTAAGGTGATTTCATTTTCTCCCTAAAATTGGTGGCATTTTCCTGCCTATATGTTTTTCATTATTATGCAAAGCATTGGTACTAATCTTTTGCTTGGGATTATACATTTTGAGTATATTTGTGAAGTCACTGATGATATATTTTGTGTTACAATCATGTTCTATTAAATGTTGTGAAACATTTTCTTATTGTCTGGTTCCACAAGTCAAAAGGAAATCGTTATATACAAGGGTGCCAGGAAAAGATGAAATAATTATACAGAACAGCTTGGACATGCACGTGTAAAATGCAACCAGCCTTTATGATAATTAAGCAAGGCACTCTACCTGTTTCATGGATGGATAGAAGATTTAAATATGCAGTTCTGCAAATGGCTTTGTTATGGAAGATTTTAAAAATGAAGCATAAGAGGAAAAGGCATAAAAAAGAGTCTAAAATTAAAAAGGCCATAGTATATAATAGCTATTAGTGATGCAATTGTCTGTTAGGCACCGGGCACCCAGTGAAGATCAGCATTGTACATTATGATTTTAATTGTGAATTTCCGTTGTTAGGATTGCAATGGAAGGTAATTGGGAGACAATTAGTTTAGGGTTTTCAAGTCTTTGAAACTGTTCTGTTTTCCAGAAAACTTACTTTATGGCATTATAATTCCTGGTTGTCAGGTGGCAGTTGCTGTTACATTACAGATCCAATCACCTGTGACAATGTGACTTCCTTAACTTAAGCAGTCTGATCTCAGGACAATAACTAATGTTGAATGACTGCACTGCTGATCACCTTGATCATAAAAGGAGCAACAGTGTCCAGTTTGGATGCTGAGCCTGAGAAGCTTCAAAACAATTTGGCCAATGAAAAATGACAGCCATATTCAAAATGTTTTGTAGGTGAAAACAGCTACAATTGCCTCTGAGAGGAATGGGAAACCAGAGAACAATGCCATGAACATTAATGCTTCCATTTATGATGAGATTCAGCAGGAAATGAAGCGTGCTAAAGTGTCCCAAGCACTGTTTGCAAAGGTTGCCGCAACCAAAAGCCAGGTAAGAGCCTCTATTAGGCATTGAAAGTATTTACCTGTGATGCCTGTGGAATTTTCATTAACAGAGGTATTTGTCTTGAATATGAACTTGCATCACTGAGAAGTGTATATAATCTCTAGGAATATGTGTAACTTCTCAGATGAAACAGTGTTCACATTCAGGTTATTGATACTTGATTTTGTCTCTCTTCAATAGCCACTCCTCAATCAAGGATTTATCTGACAGTTAATAGTTGCTTTCAGAAGAATAACATAATGTAGAGAAAGTTTCATAGAAAAAATTACTCTTGTTTCATTATTACTTAGACCATAGTTTTCATTCTAAAATATAAGAAACATACAGTTTCTTCTGTTTTGTTCAAACCTCTTAGGTATACTTTATTACAACAAACTTCACACATGTATTTTTGTATATTAATGATAGTTTATATATGTATATATACACAAGATATACAAATTGAATTACCGTTAGAAAACTTGTCCAGTTCTGATGAATTACTGGTAGGCTTGAATTGGAAAAGTTGCAAATCTCTACAAAACAAGAGAAAAGCAAAGGATGGTTAAGTTACTGTAGCCTTTGTCAGTGTAATTGTCATGTGTTGATATTTTTTGTTCATCAGAAGTAGAATCATCTGTTAGAACAAACTCCCAAATGCCTATAAACCCTTCTCCAAGAATACTTTTTAAAGGATCAGAAGAATACTAAATTTTCTTCCCCTGGCAAAGGATTTGATAACTATCAAGGTGAGATTTAGAGGCAATCAAGGGCTCCAGGTGAGATTTGAACAACTTGAAATTGTACACAAGTATATTTTCATTATCATTAATGAACCCTCTTTTACATAACATCCTGGCTGTTGTCAATTTGTGATAAAATATATAATTCTGGGAGTATTTATAACACGGCCTTTTTAGCTTTTTAAAAATTTTACTTGATCAAAATTAATAGTGGTACTTAATGGAAGTTTGCTTTAGAAAAATGTTGTTCTTGTTTAAGTTATAGGCTAGATGAAATACTTAAGGGATATCTTGGAAATGTTACATAAAAATGATTAAACTCAAGCTGTGGACTGTAAAAATTATAGCTTTATAGGCCACATGCCTGCCTACCCTTCAATCACTGTCAAAGTGATAATTTCTACAATAATATGTTTCTTTTATTGTGAGATTCTAAACATCAAGTGCTGTTTAAACATTAAACTGAATTGTTTATGTTAGTGCTGTACTCAGCGTGCCATACATCAGGCCACCGTAATCTCTCATGGAATGTAAAATTCTGTCATGAATCATGGCTTGTATATCGGAAATTACTGTAATTTTGATTGGAAATTACAGGGCTCTTGAAATGTTTCTAATTATGATAGAATGTTACAGCCGCTTCAAACCTGTGTGCTTCTTCAGATGTCTTCATTTACATGCCAAGACTATGCATTAAGGAGAAATGTCCTGTTCTCACTTTACCCACCCACCCTGAACATTCTTGTTTTGACTATTTAGTCTAATTATGATGAGGATCTCTTATTTAAATATATATTATCTTGCCCTTCTCTCTGATCCTACATCTTTTTTTCCTGACCTGTCTCAATTACCAAGAATAACAGACTGCATTCCTACAAGGGCCAAGCACTTTCCCCAAATCTCTAGAATGGAAAAACTAGCCATGCATTATTATAATCAGGTCAGCCTTAGAAACAAAACAAACAAAAATTAATAGTAAAGCTTTTCAGTAAGTACCATCAGTTACCTGTCACTTTCATTTAATTTAGTCCCCCTCCCCCAGTTTCCTTTTTGATACCACTCCCTATGCCCAACAATCCCTTTGCTACCTTTGATTTGATTCTTTTAAATGATACCCTGGATTTTCCACCCCTGGGCTGATTTACTGATTTTGTAACTGTTCAGAAAGTAACAGCAGTTGTCTGAAACTGTCATGTGTGGTGTTCTGGGAGTTTATAAACATCCTTGCCACTTGTACGGTGTGATTCACTGATCTCCTGAGTCCCTGTTTCAGCAACGTCAGTGGGCGTCTTCTAACACGGGATAGTGTGTTTCCTAAGACCCCCTAAACTTTAATCTCCTCTTTACTGGTTGAGTGAAAATCTAAGGGGCTAACTACAAGCTGTGGGGTTCCGCATACTGCTTCCATCCTCCTGAGTAGTCATTCCTGATTGCTGATGTACTCTAACTTCCTACCAGAGCATTTTTATAGTTTTCTCTTACCTGTTCAGTTTAAATGTTAAGCACTATCCTCTTTATGAAAATATGTACAAAGACTGATGATTACTTCAAAATAAGACAGGTAAAAACTGTATATTGCTAACAGGAAATCTTAAGAAGGAAAGGTGGCCATTTACTTAGGTTATATTCCACTGTGATGTCTTGTGAAGGAAATGAAAACTAACAAACCAACAAAAATAGAGTCTTCAAGTCAGACTGACCTTTCTCATTTAATTTCTCATGGTCAAGATTTATAATTTCTTTTCTTTTTTGGTACCAGGGATCGAAAAAAAAAAAAAAAGATTTATAATTTCTAAAATAGTTACCTGTGCCTCGAGACTTTATGTGCCAGAGCCTGTCAGAATGAACAGCGCTTCCCCCACATCAAGTCTGTGTAAAGTGAGAAGCAGAGCACTTCCACCTGTATCTGCTTCTATGTCCCACCCTGGTTATCTAGGTTGCCTTAACAGCTACCGCCTCTTTCCTGCTAGATCCTGTCATACAGTATGTATTAACTGCATTTAACTTTAACCCTGTTAATTTCCTAGTTTGCACATCAGGGTCACTCAGCTAATAAATAATAGAGCCAACTCTGAATTGCATCCCTCTAACTATATTAGTAATCTCTTCAGGGTTCAAGGCGGCATCAATACTAAAGTTACACCCGCTCCAGGGAAGAGGAATTTAAGGATATTGGAGCAGTTGACAGTAGAAACAGCAAGGACTTTTTTTTCTTCATTGACTTGTTTGTGGAATACAGGTTCATAACAACACAGGGCCCTTAGAATCCAAGTATTTTCATGCCTGGTAGAAGTGGCCATACATGGTGGGAGGGCCAAAGGATATGCCAGCTATGCCTCTGGCTCAACAATATTGAGAAATTATTTAAACATGTTGAGCCCAAGATTCTTTTAACACGGGAGGAAGTCACATTCTGTGATGTATGCAGAAGCATTTTTAAATTATATAACACTATACACAGGATTATATTTTATAATGTGCTATGTAAGAAATTCAGTCCTCCACACTGATAAAAGTAATTTATTTATCATGTATTTATTTCTAATACCTTCTGTTTTAAAAGTTAGAGTGCTCTGTAATGACTAATGCACAAAGTATTTTCAGTAAAAGAAACCAACTTGTATAGATTCCACCATTTCACACGTATTTTATTCTCTTGTCTTCAATGAATAATAGAAATGAGATTGTTTTTAACTCTAATAGAACCGTCTGAATAAAATATGCAACTGAAAACTGAAGGTAGGCTACTTTTTTGCTTGGTTGGGAAAGCAGGCTAATGCAAACTTTAAATAGATGATGTGCTTTAAACATAATGTGAATAGCTACAAATGAATACACTTTATATTCTGGGTATTCAAAGAAGCAGCAGTTTTTCCAAGTGTGAATCATATTGGAATTTTATCAAACATTTAGTCTGATAGCATTCAAATAATTATGAGAGCAGAATTTGCTAATTTTACTGTTTTAAAAAAATAGTTGATTTGGGTAATAACCGTTAACGGTATCAAGGTTCAGTTACTGTTCATTGGCTATAGTGTTTTCATATGGGAGATGGAAATGGAATTTTTTCCTTAATAGTGGCAGATGTTGGAATCTAATTTTACTTCACAGCAAACCCCTTGAGAGCTCTGAGACTTAAGGTGTGTGTCCAGCAAAGGGACATTAGTGGCACCGTAGGCCTTGCCTTGTACACTGGATTGTTACATTGATTTTCGTGTTTTCAGGGGTGGAGTTTGCAGATACATCAGTGCAGTAAGAGTCCAGGGCTTTCACAGAGCTGCACTGCATTACGACCTGTACTTACAAAGTGATTCCTCTCTCGTGCTTTATTAAACAGGGTATTTTTTTTTTAGGTAAAACAACTAGATGTGAAGATTTTATTTGAACATGCCTTCAATTTAATCTTTTGTAATGTTGTGCATTATAGGACTCCAGTCACTTCAACTTTGGCTGGATTGACAGGTGTGGTTTTTAAGCAATAAAAAAAAATTCTGTCTTTGCAAAAACAGAACAACTGGTGACTGGTAGAAGAGACCAAGTAACATAAAACCTTTTTATTTCTTCCATCTACTTTTCATGCACTTCTGTCTTTGAAATTCAGGGTGATTGAGAATGGTAGGGAGAAAGAATACTTCGGTGTTCCTTGGGTTTGTAAGTTAAAAAAAAGAGCATCATCCTGACTTTTAGATTTGGAAATTCTTAGATGGTGAGTGGAGTGTCTTAAATACAAGTAAGACGTGCCTCACAAACCAGTAGGCTAGAATAGGCCTAAAAATATAATTTTAGTTGCTGGAAATTAGAATCTGTAACAACAGAATCCAGGAATGAAATCTCCAGTGACACTGTATTCTGTTTTTTAGCATACTACAGAGGCACTTTTTATTTTGTTAGGGTTAAATTACATTTCATAAAAGCCACAGTTTGGAGCTGTGTGTTGGTCCCTTCTTTTGGAATGAATGTGTAATAGACTGCTGCCCCTGGATTTCACCTGTGTAGTGAGTGGTCTCTGTTGGGCACGTAGCAGACCCTGCAGACTGGAGAGTTAGAGTTTCTGTTCTCTCCCGTGCCACTTCCTTTCATCTCAGTCTGTGAGAAGGTGTTTAGGTTGTGTTCTCGGAGCTCCTTCTCTTGGGCATGTGACATTTCCTTCAGCCACAGTCAGAAGAGAGACCAGGTCCCTCCACACACTTTCTCCAGTTCCCCATCTGGGCCTTTGTCTTTTAAAGTGGGTAGAGGAGACCCTGGGCAGACACAGGTTATGTT